ATTACATTTATGAAGTAGCAACCAAATAATTTTATGGGGAGCTGGGAAGCTCAGTGGTTATGAACACTGGTTGCTTTTCCAGAGGATCTGGGTTCAATTCCCAGCACTCACATGGCAGTTTACAACTGTCTGCAACTCCAGCTCCAGGGTATCCAACACCCTCATATGGACATATATGCAGACAAAAACACCAATGCACCCGAAATAAATAATTAAAAAAATAATGTATGGTTGGGGTGGTCACCACAACATGAGGTACTGAATTAAAGGGTCACAGGTTGAGAGCCACTGCTCTATGTAATCCTTGTTATCTGGAACTCACTCTGTAGACCAGGCTATCCTCAAACTCACAGAGATCCTCCTGCCTTTGCCTCCAGAGTGCTGGAATTAAAGCCCTGCGCCACCCACCCACCCCAGCTCCATGTCCAGTTTTATGGAGTGCCAGGGATTGAACCGATAACCTTGTATATGCTCCCAGAGCACTGTGCCAAACGAACTATATACCCAGCTGTTTCCTACTTCAGGTATGAGGAAACTGATGTCCTATTTCAGCTACTTCAGTAGCCCCTGACAGCTAGGCTTCAGACCGTAAACAGGCTGGCCATGTCTCAAGCCCACATGTTTTACCTCATGCTTTACTGTCTGTCCCAAAGTGGGAGACTTAGATTGTGACCCTAGCTGTACAGTTTGTAACCTTGCTTGGGTAAACTCACCCATAAAAGGAGGCGATAGGAAGCTCTGCTGTGATCTCTAAAGAGTCAGGGCTTAGTTGTCAATGGTTTTTTGCATTAAATGATTGGCCCCTCAGTCCCCTCTGAGTTGCAGAAAGTTTCACAGTCCTAATGGGGACAGAAAGATTGAAAAAAAGGAGGAAGAGGAGAGGGGGAGAGATGGGAAGGGGAAGAGGGGGAGAGGAGGCGAGGGAGAGAAACCTATCCAGTCTCTAGTAGGCAGAGTGTAGTGATGGAGCTGAGCCAAAGACTGCAAATCCACAGAGACACTCCCCCTGGGGTGCCACACCCAGCAGCCAGCCTCGGGGCTCCTCCAACTGGCAGCCACGCAGCCCCTGGCTGGGGCGGGCGCTCCTTCACCTTTGCAGGTCTACTGATTGAGACTCATCTTCCCCAGAAAGGAGACCATATATGGTCAACAAATAGCTCCTAGGGCACTCCCTGGGCAACCCCTCTGCCCGCTGACTATAGGGCCCATTAGATCCAGTCAGTCCCTTTCTCAAGGAGTCTCCAGTCTCCAGGGGGAGACAGACGTGTAAACAGCTAATGCTAATGCAAGCACACATGAATATTCAAGAGGTGGAAACAGCCTTCATGCTCTGGAAGCATAGGAAAGCATTAGCCTGAAACCTTGAACGTGGTGCTGAGGAGGAGGGAAAGGGCATTCCTGATTAAGCACAGAGTGAGCAAAGACAGGAGGCAGGAGGTACAGTGAGGCCAGCATCACGACATCACAAGGACACAGATGAGCCTGGAAAGGAAATGTGGGACCAGCCCAGGGAGAGCCTTGGATGCCAGGATGAGTGAGATGCCCTGAGAGAGGAGGTGTGTGAGCCCTGGGGAGTCCTACATGGAGTCGGTTGAGGAAGTGTCCTGACTCCCTCAAAACAGGGAGCACCCTCAGCTCACTCTCCAAGGGGCGGCATCTTACCGCCAAAGGTTCACCAGCGTGACAGATTCCACTCTGCCATCCTCCCCTCCCCCAGGCAGCCCCATAAATGGATCCAGATGGTCATTCCTATTTTGGGTAGTGTATGTGTTGGGGGAGGGGTGGCTCTGAACCCCATCAATCCTCAAACAAACTCTGTGTAAGAGGAGCCTCTTCCAGGCCCTGCTGTGATCCTCTGAGCCTGGAAGGCAGCGATAGTCTTTGATGGAGATTATCCATCTGGCTGGGGGAAAAGGGAAACAGGCAGGCCAGGCAAGGACACAGGCCAGGGAGCTGAGTGCTCTGGGTGAGAACCAAGGTGATGGTGTGAGAGAAGGGGAAGAGGGGCCCCCGACAGGAGTCAGAGCTGGCTTCGCTATCCAGCCACACGACCTTTGCGTCCTGACTTCTGTAGCTACCCAGGGCAAAGGGAGGGTAATGCAGGCTGTAAGAAGAAAGCGAGGGCTCTCTCAGAGCAGAGGACTAAGACGCTGTGCCCACCAGCCTCCAGGAACTGTCTTCAAAGGGCTCAGAGCACAAGAAGTAGCAGACGATAAGCTAGGTCCCTTTGCTCAAACAGTCTGTTACCAAAATATTATGCCAAGCCTATAAGGATTTGTCACAGATCTGGCTTAGTGAATATTGGTTAAAAAAAACCACTAAGCACTCGACTAGGCCCTGGGTTTAGAAGTGAAGACAACCATTCCTCCACGGTGGAGGAAGCAAACAATACATGGGCGTGCGTGTGCTGTGGAAAAGCATGTTCCAGAGGAGAGCGACAGGGACCTTCTAATTCAGACTGGAAGCCAAAAGTTGGCTGGCTGAGAAAATGACATTGCCTCTAAGTCTGGAAGGATGAACGGAAGTTAGTGTAAGTGGGTAAAGGGGTATATTAAAGGCCGGGGTGGGGTGTGGGCCATGTTCCTCATGAAGGGATGAAGGAAGGAAGGGATCAAAGGCTAGGGTATCAATAGTGACGAAGTAAGAGATAAGACACGGCCTGGAAGGTGCAGAGTCTTGTAAATTAAACATGATAGATATAGCAGGACTGTGGTGGCGCACACCTTTAATCCCAGTACTCAAGAGGCAGAGGCAGGTGGACCTCTGTAAGTTCAAGGCCAGCCTGGTCTACAGAGCTAATTCTAGGACAGGCTCCAAAGCTACACAGAGAAACCTCGGAAACAACAGCAACAACAAAAACCATGGTAGATATTTGTGTCTTATACTAAGTGCCACGGGAAGCTATCGAAGCTTGTCAGATTACATGTGGCATTTTGTTAGTACCGCCAGCTCTGCGGCAGAACCCCGAGACTTGCTTTGGTTGTTTACTCATTCAAACATACACTCAACGCTGGTAAAGGACTATCAGAGACACACACTTTCCTTGAAAACCTGGGGCACAGAAGAAGTTAGACAACTGCTGTGACTGAGTTCAGAACTACTGGGACAACTCATCCAACAACTGTTGACTGGGCGCTTAATCCCTTCCAAACCCTGCTGGAGGGGTGGCTTCCCTCCAGGGTTCACACCGCCCAGGGTTCACACCACACAGGGTTCACACTGCCCAGGGTTCACACAGCCCAGGGTTCACACCACACAGTTCACACCACACAGGGTTTACACCGCCCAGGGTTCACACCACACAGTTCACACCACACAGGGTTTACACTGCCCAGGGTTCACACCGCCCAGGGTTCACACAGCCCAGGGTCATTCATGAAGAGGTACAGGTGCTCAAAGGAATTTGAGCAGATTAGCATTAGTTTTAGCTATGATACCAGTGAGATTTTTTTTCTTTGTGTAGCCTTGACTGAACTAGCTCTGTAGACCAGGCTGGCCTCCAACTAGCAGAGATCTGCCTGCCTCTGCTCCTGGAGTGCTGGAATTAAAGGATTAAACCCTCACCTGGCCCAGTGAGAGCTTTAAAAGATATCTAAATCAAGGAACATTTAGTGTGCATTCAACAGGTATGTGCACAGTTCTGGGAACTGTGCTAGCTAGTGTAGTCAAAGACATTTAGATTTTTCCACAGCATAGATAATTTTTTTAAAAAATGTATCAGGAGAGCAGGCTTTCCATAGGTCTCCATTAAAGAAGGGTAATTTAATGGAAGATCATCTCAAAGGCACAGCTTCTCTTTCCTTAGTGTGTTTGCCCATATCTTCTGTTGGCTAATAGCCTTACCTTAGGTCATAAGGAATTGAGTCTGGCTGTACTGGGCCATAGCCCCTAGCCAGAAAGAATTGCTTACCCCTAACCTGTCAGGTCTGCTCCACCTGCAGAAACAATATGCCTGGGTATGGAAAACAACTCACTCTGGTCCCAGACAAACCGCAGAAAAGAGCTGTAACTTCCTGGTAGCTGCCTTTGTATATATACCTGTCCTCCAACCCCACTGTTCCAATAAGACAGTCTCAGCCTGTTGAGACTATCTGTCTGCTTCTCTGCATCATTTTTCTTACACCTTCCTGTAGCCCGGTTCCCTTCATGTTCCAACCCCCACTTCCCACTGCATCACATTCCACTTCCTGGTCTCTCTGGGCATCCCTCTCAAAGCCAAAAGATTCCAAGACTGGAGCCTGGCCGTTCTGTGTTCTCAGGTGTGATCTTAGGCAATTGATAACTGCCGAGGGCCTCGGTTTTCCCGTTAAACAAAAAAGGATCTGGCGTAGTGGCACACCTCTTTAATCCCAGCACTCGGGAGGCAAAGTCAGGCGGATCTCTGTGAGTTTGAGGACAGCCTGGTCTACAGAGTAAATTCCAAGACAGCTAGAGCTACTTAGTGAGACCCAGTTTCGAAACAAAACCGAACACCATCCCAAAACAATAATAAGGAAGTTCTATCTATCTACCTAAGTCCTGTGACTTGCTCGAGCCAGGATGATATCCTCTCGCCCGCACACAGTGACCCTCACGGCTTTCCTGTCTTTGCATCTCTGCATCCGTGTCCTCCCCAGGCCCGAGGCAAACATCAGTATCATCTTGCCCCCTTGCTCACTGCGCTGCGTGTGTCTCTCACAAACACACACCAAGATTTTAGTCTGACCTTCCTTGACACTATCTGTAACTCGTGCCACAGAATAAAAAGGACAAAGGAAATCTAAAAACTTGTGTTTGAACCTCGACCCCTCACCTCATCAAGCCTCAGTCCCTCATTTGTAACCCGAGGAAAACAACTCAACTTGTATTTAGGTCTAATCAGCTTATGGAAAGTAGTAACGATGGATGTCAAGTGCTTGAAGGCGCCTAAGAAGTGCTCAATAAATACTGCCTGCACCACGTGCCGGCGAACCGAACCGTGATTGGCTGTGGGTCTCCCCAGGGCTAGACTGGGAGCTGCCTGAGGACGGTGTAGACGCCCCGCTACAGGCGCGGGGAAGAGGTTAGGCTGGCCGGGCACAAAAGGACGAGACTTCAATTCCCGGAGGGAAGACCAACCGGGTGGACCCCTAACCTCCCGGAAGTGACGATCCAGGGGTGAGCGGCGCCGCAGCCAGGCCTTCCCGAGCTGGGCCTGTCCGAGAGGGCCGCGCGCAGCATGGCGGAAGCGGAAGGGAGTTCTCCGCTCCTGTCGCCGCCGCCGCCGCCCCCTCCTCGGATGGCGGAAGTAGAAGCGCCGACGGCGGCCGAGACGGACATGAAGCAGTACCACGGCTCCGGTGGCGTCGCCATGGACGTGGAGCGGAGCCGCTTCCCCTACTGCGTGGTATGGACTCCCATCCCGGTGCTCACGTGAGTCTCTTCCGGTGTCGCCGCGAGGACCGGGAGGGCACGAGCGTCCTCCGGTGTGCCGTTCTAGCTTTTTTCTCAGACCCGGGGCAACCTTTACCCCGGGCCAGGCCAGCGCCCCGTCCCTAGAACCCCGCCACCTGTGCGGTGCGCGTTCCAGCTGCATGCATGCTACCGATCAGGGTTACCCCTAGTCTAATTGCGGAGGAGGACAAGTGTAGATCAGCGGGAAAGGCCAGGTGACTAGCGAGCCCTTAAGCTGCAGGTGCACAGAAAAGTCCTTTAACCTTGTCTGAAGAGGTGTGTTCATTCATTCATTCATTTATTTATTTATTTATTTATTTATTTATTTTTGTTCACTCATTGAGCAAATGAATGCTTCCTGGTCATCTGCTATACTCAAGACGTTTTGCCTTTAGAAGCAAAAGAGAGTGTGATTGAGGCCACACTGGTTCATGGGATGTCAGCACTGGGCGGTCCATACCAACATTTTGCCCCCTACATCTTCTGAGTGGCAAAACAGAATCAGGTACATAGATGCAGCTTACTGCCCTCCTTCTTTAGTCTTAAGAGCCCGGACAGTTTGCAAGCTCGTTCATTCCCATTTCTTCCCATTTCTAAAGTAGGAATTGCTTCTCCCCCATGGTGAAGCTGAGTTCCTTATCACATTGTCTTAGTCAGTTCACTGCCCCAGCAAGAAGACATTCAGAAGTCAAGTTTACTGTGTCCTTGTCTTTCAGCCATGTCCTAGCACCCCTCACCTGAGGGGATACATACTTTCTCCTCTGTCAAAACTAACCACCAGGCATGGTGATCCACACCTTTAATCCCAGCACCCAGAGTTAGAGGCAGCCAGGTGTCTGAGTTGGAGGCCAGCCTGAACAAGACAGGCATTCCATGCCAGCCAGGCCTGCCTAGTGAGACCCAATCTGAAACAAAACCAGCCAAATTGTGTGGAGAAGGAATAATTTTTAGCTTCAAATGGTGCTGATCTTAAAATCGCTTTAATCTTTTGTTTTGTATTAATTTTATTGGTTTTAAGACAAGATCTCAATACGTATCCCAGGCTGGCCTAGTATTTATTGTGTAGCCCATGTTGACTTTGAACTCCTGATCCCCCTGCCTTGGGCTTCTGAGTTCTGGGACTACAGGTCTATGCCACCTCGTCCAGCTAACGACCCTAATTTTTGTGTTATGTTAAACTTCTTGGGTCTGGGTAGGGACTCAATCAGTAAAGTGCTTGCTGTGATTCCTGTTGCCCATGTGAAAAACTAATGAAGCTGTGGGTTGTCTGTAGTCCCAGAGCTGAGGAAGTGGAAATAAGAGGATCTCTGAGGCTTGCTGGCCAGCTAGATACTGTCTCCAAAAGTAAGGTTCCCCACTGGGCATGGTGATATATACCTGTAATCCCAGCACTCCGGAGGCAGAGCCAAACCGAGGTGGGAGTGGGACTGAACCAATGGCTCGTTGGTTAAGAGCACTTGTTGCTCTTGCAAGCCAGGGTTCAGTTCCCAGCCCTCATGGTCGTACTCGGGCATCTGTAACTCCAGTTCCAGGGGATCTGATGGGTACCAGGCAGACATGTGGTGCACATACATACATGCAGGCAAAACGTTTATGTAAATAAACCATAAAAGAAAAAGTCTGAGTCCAGGCACAGTGACTCACGCCTCTGATCTGAGAGCGCTCCAAGAGATTAAGGTAGGAAGGTCCCTGAGAGCATTGAAGCCATCCTAGGCTACAGAGCAAGGTCAGGGCCAACCTAGGGTTCCAGAGTGAGACCCTGGATCCAAAAGTCAAAACTAAAAAGAAAAAACAGAACAATAACAAAACAATTTACAATATGTGCTTGTTAATTCATTAGATGTACCTCCAACACATTTGCTAAATGCCTTGGCCTTGTCGTTGTAGGTGGTAAGACCTAGATGTATGGTATATAGCCAATAGCCATACTCTGTCAAGTAAGGCAGGGGAGCTGCTTGCCCTTGAGTTGATGGGAGGGGTAGAGAGTAAACAGGTAACTAAGAGAGTGAGCTCCAGAAATGAGTAGAGCTGTGAAGAGAGCGGACTGTTACTGTAGGGTGGCTGGGTACTCAGGCGATGGGCTATTTGTGTGAAAACTCGGCATGCTAGCCATGTTGGCCTTTTCCTCATTTCTTCATTTTAAAAAATTATTTCTGCTGGGTGGTGTCACGAGCCCTAAATCCCAGCACTCGTGAGGCAGAGGCAGGCAGATCTCTGTGAGTTCAAAGCCAGCCTGGTCTACAGAGCAAGTTCCAGGACAGCCAAGGCTACACAGAGAAACCCTGTGTCGAAAAACAAAATTGTCTATGTGTGTATGAGTACCTGTGGAGGCCAGAGCACAGCTTACAGGAGTTCTATCCTGCCGTGTGAGTCCTGGGATCAAACACAGGTGCCTTCACACACCAAACCATCTGGTCAGCTCCTCATTTTTAGAACTGTTTGTGGCCTGGTCCTCTGCAGAGAAATGGTAGCAACTTGAGGTGGAGACGCACAGTGCCCCACTGTCTGGGCTAGAAGCAGCTTACATCTCAGTTCTCTTCGGATGTGTTTGCAGGTGTTTCTAAGACTCTGAGGTGCTCCCATGGGAGGACTGGCCCTTCAGCAGAAGGGACAGACACTGATGACTTTGTAGTGGCTATGTGAGATTGCTGAATGCAGGGCTAGACATGGCATGGGGACTTTCATGTCTGTGAGAGGAAGATCAGAGGAAGACACTGAGTCCAAGACCTGTCCATCTCTTCTGAGATGTTAGCAGTGGGTGCTGCCAGTCATCAGAGCATTTCATGTTCGGTGTCACCCAGTCCTGGTTGACATGATGTCTGCATCAGCTGGGAAAGCAGGCACTCTTGCTCGTCTGTAGATGAGGTTTAAAGAAACGGAAGTCCAGGATGAGCGGCTAACTCCTTCACTAACCTTTCTGAGGACCATTTTGTCCTAGGTCAGAAGACACAGCACTTGGCTGAGCTCCGGAGCTTGTCCTCGGGGCGCTGACAAGCTTGCGTTGGGAGCTGCTTCCCTGGGGCTTTGCCAGGCACAGAGCTTTAGTGGTGTCTCTCCAACCTCCGTCCCCACGGCCATCACCATCAGCACGGTCGTGACAGGGAGCGCTGCTCAGAGCCGGGTCCCCTGCCACTGGAAAGGAATCTGGGGTTGGGTACTGAGAGCCAGGGGAACTGTTTCCCAGAGCTCTTGGTTACCGTCCTGTGTTCACCATGGATCTTCAGCTGCTTACCCTTTCCGTCAGGTAGCAGGTGTTTGCTGACCAACTCAACGCACCATTCAGCACCCCACATGTGAGCAGCGTTTACACCAATTGCGAGCGGTGGCCCCTCAGCCACGTACTTGTTATTCTGCAGGAAGATGGGAATGAATAGCCTGCTCAAAAGTTCAATCAGACCTGACTTCACTCTCTTTTTTTTATTTTTTATTTTTGGCTTTTGACACAGGGTGTCTCTGTGTAGTCCTGGCTGTCCTGGAACTCAGTCTGTAGAACAGGCTGGCCTTGAATTCACAGAGATCCACCTGCCTCTGCTTCCCGAGTGCTGACTTCATTTTTTTTTCCTAATTCTCACATAGAGTAATCTTATGTACATATAGGGTACGGTATGGCATTCCAGTATGTATTTTTGTTTATTTGTTTTTCAAGACAGGGTTTCTCTGTGTATCCCTGGCTGTACTGGAACTCAGTCTGACCAGGCTGCCCTTGAACAGAGATCCGCCTCCCTCTACTTCCTGAGTGCGGAAATTAAAGTCATACCCCACCACCGCCTGGCTTCAATATGTATTTTTAAAATGGGTGGGCAAAGTGCTTGCCTCACAAACATGAGGACCTGAGTTCAAATCCCCAGAACCCTCCAGAGGCAGGCATAGGAAACAGGAGCCTGCAATCCCAGGGCTCCCATGGTGAGATGGCAGAGACAGGGAATCCCCAGATGTTCACTGGAAGCAACGAGGTCCTGTCCTAGGGCAGAGGACAAAGCAACATGCATGGTTGTCTTCTGACCTCCACACACACACCGGGGCACATGCACATACACCACACACACGCACAGTTAGGACCATCAGATCAGGGTAAATGGTGCATCCCTTACCTCAGCTGTCACCTCTCTGTGTTGGGAAGATTCTGAATACTCTCTCCTGACTCTTGAAGTCTGCAGTTAGTTGTCAATCATAGTGACCGTACTGTCTGCAGAACACTGAAATTACTCCTCCTCTCCAGCCGCATCCCTCTACTCTTAAATGCGAGTAATTTGGTCAGTGTCCCCTGACAACACATAGTGGGGTTGGAGCTGTGTGCCGTGCCAGGCACGCCACCTATGAACCCTGAGTCTAGGGGAGAGCTGGAGAGCGGGCTCAGTGGTCAAGAGTCAGTACTGCTCTTGTAGAGGACCAGGATTCAGTTTCCAGTACCCACATCTGTGGCTCACAACGCTGGTAACTCCAGCTCCCGGGCATCAGATGCCCTCTTCTGGCCTCCAAGGGCACCTGCCTGCCCTCATGTCCCATACCACCACACACAGACACACATAATTAAATTAATGGTGGAAAAAAGAAAGCCCTCTTCCCTTTATAGTTTGAGTCTATCACCTACGATTATCTAGTCAGGACTGTCGTCTGGGGCTGCGACTTCAGCAGTCGCCTCTACACCATCTCCCTTCCACTTTCTCAGCTCTCCACTCCCTCTTCAGTTATGCATCAAGCACCTTACCACTGAGCCATCTTACCAGCCCTGAAGACCCCTCCCCATTTGAAACCTCCTCATTGAAGTATTATTTACATATTATAAGATGCACAATTCTTAAGCTTACAACCGAGTTTTTTAAGCCTGCCTTCCTGCCTTCCTGTCTTCCTTCCTTCCTTCCTTCCTCCTTCCTTCCTTCCTTCCGTCCTCCTTCCCTTCCTCCCTCCCTCCCTTCCTTCCTTCCTCCCTCCCTCCCTCCCTCCCTCCCTCCCTCCTTTCCTTCCTGTTTATGGGCTGGAGAGACAGTTCAGCAGTTAAGGCCATGTACTGTTACAGAGAACCCAAGTATACTTCCCAGCCCCTGTGTCCATTGGCTGACAAGCCCTGTAAGTCCGGCTCTGGTGGGATCCTATACTTGTGGGTACCCATGCATACCTACATGCAGACACATGCACATACACATAATTTAAAATAACACTGGAAAACTTTCGTTTTATTATTATTATTTTTTTTTTTTTTTTTTTTTTGGTTTTTCGAGACAGGGTTTCTCCGTGTAGCTTTGCGCCTTTCCTGGGACTCACTTGGTAGCCCAGGCTGGCCTCGAACTCACAGAGATCCGCCTGGCTCTGCCTCCCGAGTGCTGGGATTAAAGGCGTGCGCCACCACCGCCCGGCTAACTTTCGTTTTATTATTAATGTGTGTATATATACAGGAGGGAGTTGGTCACAGTACACGGGGGGAGGTCAGAGGCAGCTTTATGGAGTCCCAGCAATCAAACTCAGGTCATCGAGCTTGGTGGCAGGCACCCACACAGCTGAGCCACATCTTGCCGGTCCCAGTGCAATAGTCATAGATTTGTCCTGTCTTCTCTGGAACACTAAACAGTACTGTATTTCATACACTTGGCTCAGGCATACACTCTTGAGAGTATGTTGTATGTAGTGGAAATGTGTCTTTCATTTTTACATGGAACCATGGCCAGGCTATGCTGATTTTACTTATTTCTGGGTGTGTGGAGGGGGGCGTTAGTTTAGTTTGGTTTTAAAGAGCTTCATTTTGTTTTCTCTGCATGTATGTATGTGCACTGCATGCATGCATGCATGCCTGGTGCCCTTGGAGATCAGAAGAGGATGTCACATCCTGTGGAATTGGAGTTATGGAGGTGTGAGCTACCATGTGGGTGCTGGGAACTGAACCCAGGTCTTCTGCAAGAACAGCAAGTATTCTTAATGGCTAAGGCATCTCTCCAGTCCCATTGATTTTTGAGACAAGCTCTCACTATGTAGACAAGGCTAGTCTCGAACTCACAGAGATCTGCCTGCCTCTCCCTCCCAAGTGCTGGGATTACAGGCGTGTACCAGCCATGTTCAGCTAAATTGGGTTTTGTTACCTTATTTTAAAAAATTAACTTTAAGATAATTTACATTTAAGAAAAGATACACTTTATTTTATGTGTATGAATGTTTTGTTTGTATCTATGTCTGTGCTGCACATCTGTGCTGCACATCTGCCTGGTGCTCACAAAGGCCAGACGGTTGTGAACTGCCGTGTGGGGTTGGGAATTGAACCGGGGTCCTCCAGAAGAGCATCCAGTGCTCTTCACCACTGAGCCATTTTTTTCAGCCCCAATAAGAGGTACACATTTTTATGAGTACAGTTCATTGAGGATTTTTATTTTTCACAGTTCTGGGGTTCAAACCCAAGGCCTTGTTTATGCTAAGCAAGCACTCAGGGTACTCTGTATGTTTCTGTACACAGTTTGGGGGCACGAGGCCTTGTTTCTGTCTGTACATCCTCAGAGCTGCTGAGGCGTAGCTTACAGAGCGGACAGTTTCCCACGAGGGAGGTGTTTTTATCTCCCCAGTCCACGGTCTGCTGCTCTGCGTCTCTGCTATGCTTGGTGTTCGTGTCCTGTGTCAGTGATAGCTCTTCTGCAGTGGTGCAGGCTATCCCACTGTGCTTCCAGGTCACAGTTGCCTTTCTTTGGTGCTTTCCCCAGTCCTGTGGACCTCCCCAAGGTGACTCACCGTGAAACAGTGTGACCTGCTCCCTGGCATCTGTCTAACCCCGCCCTGTCCTTTCTCTGCTGTTTTCTTACAGGTGGTTTTTCCCCATCATCGGCCACATGGGCATCTGCACATCCACGGGGGTCATTCGGGACTTCGCTGGCCCCTATTTTGTTTCGGTGAGTCCCCGTTTTGCCCTGCCCTGGAGGTCTCCAGGCTCCCGTAGGCTGGCCTGGGCCCAGGACGTCGCAGCTAACTCTGGGCTTAGGCTCTGCCCCTCACCAGTGTTTGACCCCTCTCCTTCTCTTGCCTCCAGGACAGGCCAGCAGGGCAGTGTGGCAGAGGAGTCTTAAGTAACTGGCCCAGCCCTTTGCCCCCATCCCTGGGTACCAAGACATGGGTAGGGGTTAGAGGCAAGAGTGGAGTCAGACCATCCAGGAACCACATCTCTGGACCTTCAGAAGGTGGGAGCCATTGTTGGGGGACAGGGGAGGCTGACATGATTTCCAGGGTGGGCTTTCAGACTGAACCAGTATGTTCTCAACTCTGCTTCCTGGGGATGGACCAGCACTATCCAGTGGGCTCATCCAGATGAGCACATGGCATTTGCCTATTTTCAGGTAGCTAAAGGCGGAACAGAGGGGCGTGACAGCATAGCCTGTTTCCGTTAGTGGTTGTTCCAACCATCCACACAGGACAAGGTCTATTGCTGTGAATGGAATACTTTTACTAGCTAGGCGTAATGGATACCTCTCTAATCCCAGCATTGGGAAACTGAGGCAGGAGGATTCCTCAGAGTTTAAGGCCAGCCTGGGCTACATAGTGAGTCCAGGTTAGTGTTGGGTATAGAGTTGGACCCTGCTTCAAAAAAAAACAAAACAAAGCCAGGCATAGTAGCACTTGCCTTTAATTCCAGGACTCAGGAGACAGAGATAGTGAGTTCAAGGACACCCGGTCTCTGTGGAGAGGTCTCTCTACATTGAGAGACCCTGTCTCAGCATATATAATTAGATTTCTAGGGTGGGCGTGTGTCCGCATACGGAGTCTAGGGCTCTCCATAGTCTCCCTCATAAGGGTTCTGGGTCCAGCAGCCTCTGTCCTGCTCTGAGGTGTCCCCGCTCTGAGGTGTCCCGCTCTGAGGTGTCCCGCTCTGAGGTGTCCCACTCTGAGGTGTCCCGCTCTGAGGTGTCCCCGCTCTGAGGTGTCCCGCTCTGAGGTGTCCCCACTCTGAGGTGTCCCCGCTCTGAGGTGTCCCCGCTCTGAGGTGTCCCGCTCTGAGGTGTCCCCACTCTGAGGTGTCCCGCTCTGAGGTGTCCCCACTCTGAGGTGTCCCCACTCTGAGGTGTCCCCGCTCTGAGGTGTCCCGCTCTGAGGTGTCCCCGCTCTGAGGTGCCCCCGCTCTGAGGTGCCCCCGCTCTGAGGTGTCCCCGCTCTGAGGTGTC